CAAGTTTAATTACATATATTGATGATAAAGTAGTTTAATTAAATTTTGAATGTATCTTTGGAAAAGGTTGTCACTTTGACCTCTACCTGTGCAAATAGGGTTAAAACTGCTTTAAGCATAATAGATTATTATTTTACACAATAAGTTGCAAAAAATAACTGCAGATTTATTTCAACAACAGATAATGATGAAACATGTAGTAAAGATGGAATTTCACTCTTCCTGTACCAGTTTCCAGTTTGAATTAATCACTTGAGTTTGTCTAGAGTGCAAAGTTTTTTTTTGTTTGTTTTTCAAATCAATCAATTCACTTTCTGGTTCTCAGACTATCCACAATCATTACAAGTTATAACAACATGCACTTAACCCTTAACTGCCACATAAGTGTGGAATGTTATCACCTTGGAGAGTATTCTCAAACTTTGCAAAATTTACCAGCTTCAAGTTTCAGAGCAGCAATGAAATATTAAAATATATAATGCATAATCAAAGTAAATGTATGACTTGGAGATTTATTTTTAAGTGGCAATGAAAAAGTGAAATAAAAAATCTTAACATTCATTTATATATATAAATATATAGATACACAAACACACACATGCTATATAGAGGAATTACTTATATGCCAAGATTTCAATTATAACTACTGAAATTAGCCAAAAGATTTTTTACCAGTCACTTTTTTTAAGACATGCTTTCTAATACTGTGTTGTACTACCTCAAAGCACCAAATTTTCATAGAAATTACAGAATTGAAAATGTTAAATCATCTTCAGAAAAGCACCAAGAAAATACAGCACCACAGGAGTTTGCATAGCTTACCTTGGTTAATAAGCTCATTTCACATTCGCTACAGAGGCACAGCAACCTTATGGTATCCGAAGTTTTAGCGATCTGATAATTTCAAAGTTTTTATTACAAAAAAAAAAAAATGTAAGAAAATTTAGGTCCACTGCACCATATATATCCAGCCCTGCCAAAAGACAATTAAGGTAACAGCTTACGTGAGGTAATACCTGTGTATTTTCAGACAGGTCCTCAATTGGTGCTCATTACTTTTATCACTTGTAATAAAATTTCAAATGGAAGTGTTGGTAAGTCACAATAGGACCCAATAAACTCATTACCACATACAAAATAAACGTACAACTACAACCCTGTGTAAGTAAACAAAACAGAAAGTAGGACATTTCAAATCTTTCAAACCATATTTATTAAACATCTAGCCACACTTTAGTGGCTGTCAAACAATTATGAAAGTATACATATATATTTTTGTTTTTCAAGTTCAATATGTAACTGTCCCTGACTGTATAATATCTTAGTTATATGACTGAAGAAATATGTGTATAAATAGGGGGGGGGGGGGGGGGGGAAGGGGGGAAGAAGAGAGTTTACTTACAGGGTAGGTTTTAATTTTTAACTTTAAGTCGTACTAAT